ACACAGGTCACCAGAAACTAGGCTCTGATACGAAGTCAAACAATATGGGTAGAATATTTTCAGATATATTTCATTCTCCGAAAGGAGGTATTTATAATACAGGTTACAAACCCTAGTAGGGTTTAATTAGGAAATAAGTGGAATCCTAATTACATAATATCTATACAAAAGGAAAAATAAATAAAACCCAAATAGAATAGGATATATTCTACTCGCCAACAGATCCTACTAATGTAAAAGTTGTTCTTGGTTCGAAGAAGTTGGTCCCTTGAAGAATTTGAGATCTTCAATCAATAATAGTAACGCATATGGGGTCTCTAGCCACGTTAGTTACTTAACTAGTAGGGTCTATTTTGTTCATGATCTTGATTGTGTTTTAGCATGAATCAGTGGCAGTGTTTTAATGGCTTAATTGGTCTCCCCTTTATGAGTGTATTACTATTTAAGATTGAATGATTAGAATAATCATTTGCTATCGAATTCTATATGCAAAGCACCATATTTTTTTACTTAGTTACAACAAGGGAAAGCGGATTCAACAAAAAAAAATAAACAATATGATTTTCCTCTGCATATTTTCTCAACTCTATATGCTTATCCATATATTGAGCTGTTAATTAGTTGAGAGCATTTACTGCATAGGTCCTAGGTTCGATTCCCCTCGCCCAATACCACTCGTAAAAAACAAATTTAATACCACTAAAAAATTATATAAAAGTTCACTAGTAAAAAAAACCCCTTGCGCGACCAAATTTTGCGCGACGAAAAAATATCCGTCGCGCAAAGTCACTTTGCGTGACGACAAAAAATTGTCGCGCAAAGTCTTTAAAAAATATAAAAAATAAAAACATTATTTTTTAAAATCCTTGCATGACTTTGCGCAACCAATTACTAAACTTCGTTCCACAAAGTATTGCGCTACTAAGTATGATTCGTCGCACAAAGTCTTTATAAAATATATAAAATATAAAAATTATTTTTTAAAATCCTTGCATGACTTTGCGCAACCAATTACTAAATTTTGTTGCACAAAGTATTGCGCTACTAAGTATGATTCGTCGTGCAAAGTCTTTACAAAAATAAATAAAATTAAAAAATTATTTTTTAAAATCCTTGCATGACTTTGCCCGACCAATTACTAAACTTCCTTGCACAAAGTATTGCGCTACCAAGTATGATTCGTCGCGCAAAGTATTTACAAAAATAAATAAAATTAAAAAATTATTTTTTAAAATCTTTGCATGACTTTGCGCGACGAAGTACTAAACTTCGTTGCACAAAGTACTGTGCTACCAAGAGTGGTTCGTCGCGCAAAGTCGATACAAAAATAAATGAAATAAAAAATTATTTTTTAAAATCTTTGCATGACGTAATCCAAATATTTCGTCGCCTAAACCAATTTATTTTTGTTTTTTTTATTTTGTATGCATAACACTTAAGAAATTAAACGGTATATATATTTATTAAGTAGCTTTAAATTAATTATTTTAGTTCGGATTGGATTTTTGTTAGAAAAATATATTATTGTAGTTCGAATTGGGTTTTTGTTAGAAAATATATATGTTAAATTGACGATCGAATTAGTTCATTGTATTCATATAGGGTCAAGGAGTGTAGCTGTAAAATATCATCAAAATCGAAATTGAAATAACCATTAAATCGTAATTTTTCATTTATAACCGTCGAAATGTTTTGTCCCATTACTTAATCTCTGAATGTTTATTTTTTCTGATTTTTGGTGTATATGATCTCGAAGTATAAACAAACAAGTTTGACGGTTGGATCGTTGAAACTAGTTTCGTAGAATGCATATGCCATCAAAACAATACATTCACTAACAATTAAGAGTTTATTTATACTTTTGTTAAATATAACATAAGATTTTATAGTATCCACTAGTGTAAATATTTTAAATTGACGATCGAATTAGTTCATTGTATTCATATAGGGTCAAGGAGTGTAGCTGTAAAAAAGCATCAAAATCAGAGTTGAAATAACCGTTAAATCGTGATTTTTCGTTTATAACCGTCGAAATGTTTTGCCGCGTTACTTGATTTCTGAATGTTTATTTTTTCTGATTTTTGGCGTATATGATCTCGAAGTATAAACAAACAAGTTTGACGGTTGGATTGTTGAAACTAGTTTCGTAGAATGCGTATGCCATCAAAACAATATATACATTAACAATTAAGAGTTTATTTATACTTTTGTTAAATATAACATAAGATTTTGTGGTATCCACTAGTGTAAATATTTTAAATTGACGATTGAATGTAGTCATTGTATTCATATAGGGTCAAGGAGTGTAGCTGTAAAAAATCATCAAAATCAGAGTTGAAATAACCGTTAAATCGTGAATTTTTTTTTTATAACCGTCGAAATGTTTTGCCCCTTTACTTGAACTCTGAATGTTTATTTTTTCTGATTTTTGGCGTATATGATCTCGAAGTATAAACAAACAAGTTTGACGATTGGATCGTTGAAACTAGTTTCGTAGAATGCATATGCCATCAAAACAATATATTCATTAACAATTAAGAGTTTATTTATACTTTTATTAAATATAACATAAGATTTTGTGGTATCTAGTAGTATAAATATTTTAAATTGACGATCGAATATAGTCATTGTATTCATATAGGGTCAAGGAGTGTAGCTGTAAAAAATCATCAAAATCAGAGTTGAAATAACCGTTAAATCTTGATTTTTCGTTTATAACCGTAAAAATGTTTTGTCCCTTTACTTAATCTCTGAATGTTTTTTTTTTCCGATTTTTGGCGTATATGATCTCGAAGTATAAACAAAAAAGTTTGACGGTTGGATCGTTGACACTAGTTTCGTAGAATGCGTATGCCATCAAAACAATATATTCACTAACAATCACGATTTTATTTATACTTTTATTAAATATAACATATGATTTTGTGGTATCCACTAGTGTAAATATTTTAAATTGACAATCAAATACAGTCATTGTATTCATATAGGGTCAAGGATTGTAGCTGTAAAAAATCATCAACATCAGAGTTGAAATAACCGTTAAATCTCAATTTTTTGTTTATAACCGTCGAAATGTTTTGTCCCATTACGTGATCTCTTAATGTTTATTTTTTCCGACTTTTGGCATATATGATCTCGAAGTATAAACAGACAAGTTTGACGGTTGGATCGTTGAGTAGCTTTAAATTTGTTTATTTTGTACGTATAACACTTAAGAAATTGAATAGTATATATATTTATTAGTAGCTTTAAATTTTTTTTAAGACTTTGCGCGACCAATATAATAATTCGTCGCGCAAAGTATACCCTAAAAATTTGGGCGGGTACCAAAAATGGGAATTTTTTTTAAGACTTTGCGTGACCAATATATATATTCGTCGTGCAAAGTATACTATAAAAATTTTGGCGGGTACCAAAAATGGGAATTTAAAATTAAAAAAAATTTACGACTTTGCGGGACCAATATATAGACGTTCGTCGCACAAAGTATACCCTAAAATTTTGGGGGGGGGGGGTTAAAAAAAATGGGAATTTAAAAAAAAAAAATTTAAAGACTTTGTGCGACCAATATATAGTAGTTCGTCACGCAAAGTATACTCTAAAAATTTGGGCGGGTACCAAAAATGGGAATGTTTTTAAAAAAAAAATTTATGACTTTGCGGGACCAATATATAGTCATTTGTCGCGCAAAGTATACCCTAAAAATTTGGGCAGGTACCAAAAATGGGACGCGGGAATATTTTGGTCGCACAAAACTTTGAGCGACCAAAAATTCGTCGCACAAAATCCTAAAAATGTACCCAAAATGGGAATTAAAAAAAAAAAAAAAATTTCAAGTCTTTGCGCGACCAATATGTTATTTCGTCACGCAAAGTGATACGGATTTTAAAACCAAAATAACTCCTCTACCATTTTCTCAATGTCTTCTACTCTTACCTCTCCTCTCTCTTTCCCTCCCCCCAAATCCTACCCTTTCTCTCACACTCACTTCTCCCTCGCATTCTCACTCACTCAAAATCTTGCTAAAAGGTATATTCTCTCCAAACTTTAAATTTTTTTCATTAATATGTGTTTTTGGAGTTAGTTTTGAGTTTATGCCAATTTTTTTGTTATTATTTTATGTTATTTTTTTGTTATTTGACAATATTTGTTTTTTTTTATAGGGAATCGTCGAGACTTTGACGGCTAAAGTTGAGGATTGGACGCTATCGAAACATATCCTCCACCCCTACCACCACAATAGGCTTCTAGATTTTATTATTGTACTTTGTTAATTTATGTGTACATTTTGAATATTATATATATTGGATAATCTGACCACTATTTTTCATATGTCATTTTATTTTGAATATGTCAATTTAAATTAAAGTAATTAAAAAAAATAAAATCATACAATTAAATTAAATTTAAAAAGTACAAATTTGAAAAAATTAATATAATGAAATTGATATAAGAGAAATAATAAAACAAAATGTCAAAAACCTTGCGCAACAAAATATTTCGTCACGCAAACTATTAAACTAGTTTATTTTAACTAAAGAAATTTTAAAAACAAAAATTTTTAAAAATTGAATGTCGTCGCACAAAGATTTGTGCGACATCAGGATTCGTTGACAAAGTTTATCGTTGCGCAAAGTGGTTAAGTTTCGTCGCGTAAAATAGATATTATTCGTCGCGCAAAGTAGATAGTATTCGTCGCCCAAAGTAGTTAATATTCGTCACGCAAAGTAATTAATATTCGTCGCGCAAAGTGGTTAATTTTCGTCGCACAAAGTTGCTTTGTGTGACGTTAGTATTCGTCGCGCAAAATTGTTATCGTTCATCGCGCAAAGTAGCTCTGCGCGACAAAAAATATTTTTAGTCGCGCAAACCCTTTCTTCACGATCTTTGCGCGACAGAACTTGTGCGACCAAAATTTCGTCGCGCAAAGTTTGCGCAACGAAATTGCACTTTGTGCAACAAAATTATTTCGTCGCGCAAAGTGTTTTTTGTAGTAGTGGTTACACCGAGTAAACGATTAACAATGAAATACATGACATGCTAAAAGAAAACCGGATATATACAATACCCTTTAAACAAAGAGTCTTACTTGTACACTCAACATGCATCAATTATCTGACACAAACTAAGTATTCATCATAATTAAACATCACACAAATAATTAAAGGGATGCACAGTGCATAATTAACCACTTAAATAGGTAATCAATAAAGATCGATATTGATTAATTGAGATTATTTAGAAGAGGTGGTGGTGCTTCTTTCCATGTGACTCTTCCTCTTCTCTCTCTGACTCTTTCTCCTCATGATGCTCGTGGAAGGCATACCCACCCGAACCAACTGCCCCTGTTGCACCAATCTCCTCCTCTATCCTGTGCCTGCGAGCATGCTCTGGGTCTTTCTGTGCCTCGTGCTTCTCATACTGCCAAAAAAAAAAAAAAACACAACTTAAGGGTCAAAAGTTTCTCCTTTTATATGTCCAAGCTCAACAATTACAAAACATTATATTTCAAAATTATATATGTGATATATCCTATAAATTAGGGGGAAATTACGATGATCCTGGAGTTTGATTTGGTCTGTTTTAAGTTGTAACCGAAACAAGATTTGTTCTTATAACTACATAATCATTATACGTATGTGAACGCAAAGTAAGATTGGCAATTATATATTTTGTCAATAAGATCTGGATAAAACTTAGCCTAATTAATCTTCCACTTCTTCAGTTATGTTCTATTTAAGTGAACGGGAAGTATGTAATTTTTTACGATAAATTCTTAGATATAATGGGTGTATATATCATTTAGACGCGATTGATTATCATAAAATAGGTGATATATACTTATCCATCATACTAAAAAATTATTTGCAACGAGATCGATCACAAATCATGCACTAATATACCTTTGAGAATGATCATAAATCCACAATTAGTATGCCTAATTAAAATCATAAATTAAATCAGAAAAATAGGGTTGAAACATTAATCTACCAATGCATAAGTGCCAGCAGCAGCAGAACCTAGCTCCCCAAGTTCCTCGAGATGTTTGTGGTGCTTCTCCTGCTTCTTGTAGTCTCCAGAGTCACTAGACCCATAGGTTTCAGACGTCTCGCTGTACCGTCCGCCGCGGGGCCCATCAGAAGAGTAAGCAGTGGTCTCGCCACGGCCGCCGTGTCCTCCTTCCGAGTAACTGTCTCCGTAGCCACCGACATTTCCAGTACGTCCCTCACTAGAGTAACTATCTCTGTAATCACCGCCGCCCCCACCGGTACGACGTCCTTCACCAGAGTAATCAGTGCTGTCTCCATAGCCGCCGTCACCGGTACGACGTCCTTCACCAGAGTAACTGTCGCCGTAGCCATCGCCGCCTCCACTAGCACGACGCTCTTCACCACCAGAGTAATCAGTGCTGCCGCCGTAGCCTCCTCCGCCAGTACGACGTCCTTCACCGGTGTAATCCGTGTTGTCGCCATAGCCGCCGCCACCACCACCGGCACGTCCTTGAGAAGAGTAACCAGTGGAGTCGCCGTAACCACCAGTGCGGCCTTGATCTCCATAACCGGACTGAGAGAAGGATGAGGATTTGTCTTCGTCTCTGTCCTGGTTGAAGAGGCCGCGGTGCTGCTCCTGGTTAGCCATGTTGAGGGGTATTTTGGGTATTTTGAAGAAAATGCGAGGATGAAGGAAGATTATGAGGTAAGGGTGTTGCGTTGGGTGTGCATGGTGATGGGGGGGCTTATATAGCCATGTTGAGGGGTATTTCTGGCTTTAATTTGTGGCTCTTCTCTTTCACAAGCTCGTACGTAAAATATCCACCTAAAGTGGGGCTCTCTTGCTCTTGCCACATGCATGGCTACCTATCCACGCCTTGGTGAACGGTCTGGATTCGTTTGGATCTCTCTCTCTCTCTCTCTCTCTCTCTCTCGGCCGGTATGAAAACTACATATATTTCTATTTATTGTCAACGGATGCCAGTAGGTTTCTTGCCCTCCCCAGTTGATATCAGAAAGAAAAATAAAGGTTGATTTACCATTCTTAATCTGAATGAATATTGTATTACAAGATCATGCCTAATTTTTATTTATTTATAAAAATACCTATCAAATAGTTATCGACCTTCTCTCTATCGAACAAGATTTTTACCAAAAAATCGACAGTGTAGAAATTAATACCATTTGACCATTTTGTCATTGAAAGCTAGATAGTATGATAGATTTAACATTTGAACAAAACTGAAGTTTGCAATAATATATATATGGAGAGCTTCAACTGAGGGATCCCTCAAATAAGCTTATTTAAGAGACACTCTTGTAGGGCCTACTTCGGATTATATTTCACTAATCCAAACCCTTCTATTTTGTAGATATTCATTCAATTATCATCTCTACAAAAAAATACTTCAATATGATATAATTTGACCACTCAATTAAATAATTAAAATTTTAGTACATTCTTGAAGCCCATGTTCATTGATTTTGTAGGACACAATTGGATGTCTAACTGGTTTCCGATTCGTCTAATTTTTTTTGTAAGGATGATCTATGAATGAAGACTTAAAAAATAGATGGTTTGGATTGTTGAAAAAAATTTGTATTGTACCCTAAAGGGCGTCTCTCAAATAAAATTATTTGAAGAATCCCTCAATAAAAGAGATATATATACACTAATCCCTTATATTTGGATTCATAAACCCAAAAAAAGATTATAAGTTTTTCTTGCAAATAATTATGGAATATGGGTTTCTTAAATTCCATCGTTGTCATTTGAAAAATTCCAAGACAATAATCTATCCACCGCCTTCCCTTATCTTATGGGCCAAGGTGGCAAGGTATGTACTAAAACGTCATATTGATCGATTTGCAATGTGGCGGACTAAAATGATGATTTTTGAAAATCTCAAAGAGGATTTGTGATAAAGAGAGTTAAAACTTGAGCTGCACATTCACTCAAAATTATTATTGGAGGAAAGAAGGTAGGGTCATTAGAGTCAACCCCTCATTGTTCACTTGCAGTGTCCTCCTTTCATCATTCTTAAATGGAAAGGGTTTTTAAAGAGAGCTATTTAGTCATTTTTCCGTGATTTTGATGAAGGTAATACTTTTCATAAACAAAATTTGGTTATGGATGGCTTTAAATGGCACGAAGAAGGAAGAGAAAGAAACAGTTGCTTTTATCATTATTCCGCTTGATAACAACATTTTCACGCTTGGGAAATCATTAGGCAATCATTTTGGATCTAATATTTTCTTAATTTGATTTTTATTATGAGACATTTCGGAGCAATAATAAGACCTACATATGCCATGCCTGGAAATTGTACAGAGGAATTGGTTTGATATATCGGCAGCAATGAACAACTCTTACTTGAGGTATAGTATATGAAATTAAATTGTTGTGCCATTTTGAATTGTTCTGATGCAAAGGTCTTTAGTTAAATCATCCTGAATTTTTTGAATTGTTTTTATAAAAAACCATATTTTTCAAATTTATTTGTAAGTTTATTTTGAGGGTGTTCGAGTCTATTCAAGTGAAGTTTCAGCTATATTTGTAATTTTTTTTTAAACTTGACTTTTATGAAATTGAAGGCCAACTTAGGCTATTTTTTATTTAAAATAATGATGTTTGTCCTTGTGAAATTGATTTGAGTGATAACAGAGTGCAAAAGTGAGATTAGGCAATGACATTAATTAGACGCTGCTAAATATCAATAAAACATGAGAGCAGATCACAGTGATGTGGGCTTTTTATAATCAACAGATATGCCTTAGATGACATGATATAAGAGCAACTCCACCCATTTGCCCTTTGCCATGGCAGGGGGAGCTAGGGCAGCCACTATTCATGTGAATAGTAATTGCCCTTGCAAAAAAGAATGTGTGTTTTCACCCGTTGCCATGACAACCACTATTCACATAAGATATGAAGAGAGGAATTTGTATAGATTTTTTATGTGGGAAGTAAAAAATATTACTAAGTATTTATTTAAAAAAAATTCTGAAATTTTTAGTATTTTTAAAATTTTTTTTGGTTGCTGATGTCATCGCTGACGTCAGCAAACCCTGGCTAGCACTGAGGCTGATTTTGCCTGAGGGCCAACCCAAGCTTGTGGAGCCCACACTCAGCCCGGGCAAACAAAGCCCGCTGGAACACCTTTTTCTTCTTGAACCCCCCCTAGCCCCAAGCTTGGGCGCACCACTGCACTTGCTCTAAGGATCATCATTTGGCCCGCGGTTTGCGAACTTCCATGAAATTTAGTTTGTTCCTTTACCTTATTTTTGTATGGAAATTGTGGTCCTTTTCTCAAAATTTGTGTGCGGGTGCCTTCAAGTCTTCCTTTTTTTTTGGAAACTGAATATTTCATTAGGCAGAAGCCAAGGCAAACAACCAAAGAAAGAAACAGAGCAGAACAAAACGTAAGCCAAGACACAACAGCCTACACTAAAACAAGAACTAAATGCAACCAAAAAAACAACAAGCCGACACAGCAAAACAGAAACAAAGAGAGTTAGGACAGTAACCAGACACATTGCAGATGGCAACAGGTGTCAGCGGTCCAAAAACTCAACATCAAAACAGAGCCTACGGAGGGCAAGGAAGCCCATCTCGGGACAGAACATGGACAAGGGAGGATGGGGGTCGATCGACCCAAACTTCCGTACCCATCCCTCCAAATGCAATCGCCGCAGCAGCATCCGCAACCGCATTGGCTTCTCTCGGGATCCAAGCCCAACGAACAGCAGAAAATTTGGACTTCAAATCCTGAATACGACATAACGAGGGGTATATACCCCAGTCCCCTTTGGCAATGTTTCCAGCACAATTATCCATAACCTTCTTTGAATCAGACTCCACATACACATGAGTGATGCCATTTTCCAGCGCAAAGGACAGTACCTCAATAATTGCCTGAGCTTCAGCAATCTCAACAGACCCGGTTGTGGTCTTCAGAACCTTTCCATACTTAAAATCCCCCATATGATTCCTGATGATTATACCAAGACCAGCTAAACCTGAATCTTTTTGCCAAGAAGCGTCCACGTTCAGCTTAAGAAATGGGTTAGGAGGAGCACACCATGATAGACCAGGGTTCACCATACTGTCCTCTCCTCCAACTCTATTGATACTCCCTGGGCAAACCTCCTTTTGCAAAAATTCAGACCAGGCCTCCCTAGCTCCAATTAAGACCTCCAAAGGGTTTGGACGCACCTGCTCAAACACGGCCTTACAACGCGCTTTCCAGATACTCCACATAACAAAAGACAAGATAGTAATTGATCTGTTAACCTCATCTTTAGTCTGGTCAGGGATGTTGCAGAGGGAAAGAAACCATTGGTGAAGGGAGGTTACCTGTTGCCTACTACCGATGTACCCCAGTGGGCAAGCAAACCATACCCCAATAACCCAAGGACAAGTCAGGAGGGCATGTTCAACCGATTCAGGAAGCTCTTCACATATAGGGCATGTTGAGGAGCATGGCACCCTTCAAGTCTTCCTTTGGTATTCTTCCATGCTGCTTCATTTTCTTTTCCTCTATTTTGTCTTTTTGTGTGCGGAAATTGGTTTGGAATGGCATATAAACAATTTTTTTTTTCTTCTTGACAATTTATTATTTTATGACTTTTGTTACGAGGATTCTTGGCAAAGTTGGCTGGCGATGAATGAATAGACCCAATTTCACATCACATAAGAAATTACTTGGCTTCTCCATGGAAAGATCCATTTCCTTTTACTTTATTTGAAATGTGTCCAGAGAATTTTCAAATAAGTATGGATATACATATACAATTTTCAAGAGTAACTTGTTTTTACGGAATGAGCCAAACGACATTCTTTTACTTGTCTTTGTGCGGAAATATTTAATCATTCATTGTTGGTTTAATTTATTTAGATCAAAGCTATTATCTAAACTAAATTTATAGCTTCATTCATTCTCAGTAGTTTTGATGGTATGATCAATCAATTAAAATTTTTATCTCTTTAGGACATGTTCAATTTAACAGTTAAACTTGACCAAAGAAAATTATGCAACCACTCAAAAGAACTTGTCCGAAAATGAAATGCCCTCCTTACTCTTCAAAATAAATCACTCATTGACCGAAGACTTGGACTTCCATTGGAGACGTTGGACTTGGAGATAGCTGACAAGAGAATGTGTGGTCGCCACTACACGGTTTTGCAACTCTCTCTCTCTCTCTCTCTCTCTCTCTCTCTCTCTCTGACTGTTAGCTTTGCTTCTTGTTGCTGGTTTTTTGGCTGATCTTGAGAAGTATTTATTGTGAGTTTCTGGTTGGCTTGCTGGTCTTGTGGTTGTTGTCTTACAAATTCTCTGGCTCTGTAATTTTTTCGGTGTTGAGGTAACACTAAGCTAAACTGGTTGGCTTGCTTCGACTACATTTCCATATCTGTTTTGTTCAGGTAACATGAACTAAAGAATATGCAATTTTTAGTTCACTTGTGTAGTCATGAGGCTTATATTTTTGTTTTAAATGTTGAAATTCGTATTTTTGTTCCTTCTAATGTTTATATGTTGAATTCCTCTGTTTCTCTCTGTTCAACTATCTATATTTTCCTCAACGTATATAATATGATTTCCCCACTTGTCCGACTTTTTGTTTCCTAAACGTTTTCATATACCCAAAAAAGACCTCTTTAAATTTATCATCATCTTTCTATTTATTAGTTGAGTGTTTGGATTTTTGAAGATTTAACTAGCAAAAGGCTTATTTTAATTGAGTGTTTTCAGCAGCAGCAGATTGCCAAATGGCATTGAGCACCCAAAGAGACTCTGCCTTTCTTCCTTCACCTCATCAGTTTGCTCCTCAACCGAACCACGATGTGTTTTTGAGTTTCAGGGGTGTAGACACTCGAAATAGCTTTGTATCCCATTTATACCACGAATTGCAGCTCAGGGGCATTAAAACATTCAAAGACGATCCAAAGTTTGAAAGAGGGACACCTATTTCTTCAGGGCTCTTCAATGCAATCCAAGAATCGAGGCTTGCAATCATTGTTCTCTCGCCAAAATATGCTTCTTCTACCTGGTGCTTGGATGAGCTTACAAGGATTCTCCAATGCATGAAATCCAAGAGCACCGTTCTGCCAGTGTTTTATCATGTGGATCCCTCCGACGTACGAAAACAAAGCGGTAGTTTTGCGTGCGCGTTCGCTGAGCATGAGGAAAGTTTTAGGAAAGACAGAGAAAAGGTGAAGAGCTGGAGAGCTGCTTTAACTGAAGTGGCCGATTTATCTGGGTTTGATTCAAAGAATGGGTAAGTTTTTTCGTAAGCCATTTGATGGAACTTCAAAGTCTTATATTTTAAACTTCATCATCGTTTTACTTTTCCTCCTTGTAGGTGTGAAAGAAAGCTTATTGAAAATATTGCTGAATGGGTGTGGGAGAAAGCGCATCACAGATTCAAATTGTTAGATTCCATAGAGTTGGTGGGAATGAAGTTTATACGTGAGCAAGTAGATTTGCTTTTAGCTCATCCTACGGATGAAGTTCACTTTATAGGGATATGGGGGATGGGCGGAATTGGCAAAACAACCATTGCTAAGCTAGTGTATGATAGCATTTCTACCCATTTTGAATCTAGCAGCTTTCTTGCTAATGTTAGAGAGGTTTCTCAACGTGGTTGTCTTGTTGATCTACAAAGACAACTTCTTTCCCCAATCTTAAAGGATCAAATTACTCAAGTTTGGGATGAACAGTGGGGAACCTCTATCATTAAGAATTGCTTGTATAATAAAAAGGTTCTTCTCATTCTTGATGATGTGAGTGAATCAAGCCAACTTGAAAAGTTGGCTGGTGAAAAGGATTGGTTTGGTAAGGGGAGTATAATCATTATTACAACTAGAGATAAACGGTTGCTAGTTAAACATGATATACATATATCATATAAGGTAGAGGCGTTAGGTGATGATGATGCTCTTGAGCTCTTTAATTGGAATGCCTTTAAAAAAGATGAGCCTGAGGAAGGTTTCTTGGAACTGTCCGAGGGTTTTGTAAATTATGCCAGAGGCCTTCCACTAGCTCTTAAACTTTTGGGATGCTTAGTGTATAAGAGAGATCAAGATGAATGGAAAAGTGAATTGGATAAGCTACGGAAAATTCCTAAGTCAGAAATTATTGATTTGCTCAAAATAAGTTATGATGGACTAGATGATATGAACAAGGATATATTTCTTGATGTTGCATTTTTTCATAAGGGGAAGGACAAGGAGGAAGTAATTGAAATACTAGACAGTTGTGGCCTATGTGGTTGTGTTGGGATAAATGATCTCGTTCAGAAATCACTCTTAACGATATCACATAGGAATGTTGAGATGCATGATTTGATACAAGAAATGGCATCGGAAATTGTTCGTCGGGAGTGTCTTGATGAGCCTGGTAGACGAAGTCGATTGTGCACTCATGATGATATCTCTCATGTATTCATAAACAATACGGTAAGAAGTTAAATAAAGATAGTTTTGGAAGATATAGTTTTGGAATTAACTTTTCTTTTACTATTTTTAATTACAGGCAACAAACAAAATTAAAGGCATCAGCTTACGCATGGCAAGACTAGAAAAGACATATTGGAATTGTGAAGCCTTCTCTAAGATGTGTAACCTGAAAGTTCTTGAATTTTACAATGTGATCAATTCTTCAAGCCCCAGAATTCTTCCTAATTCCTTGAGAAGTATCAAATGGAGTGAATATCCTTCCAAATTTCTCCCATCAGGTTTTCAACCGAATTTCCTTATTGCACTTAAGATGCATGAGAGCAAACTTGTTCAGCTTTGGGATGGAAGAAAGGTAAGAGTAGTGATCATATGCCATTCTAGAGATTATTATTTTTAAAATAAATATTTTCTTTTTAAAAATAAAATAAATCTGAGCTAATTATCTATTCTACCATTGTTATAAATTGTACAGGACTTGCCCAACTTGAAAAAAATGAAACTTCCTGGCTCTGAAAACTTGACCACAACCCCAGATTTCTCTGGCATTCCGAATCTTGAGGTGTTGGATTTTCAATTTTGTAAGAATTTGGTTGAGATTCACCCATCAATTGCAAATCTCAAATGTCTTAAAAGGTTGTCTCTTGGTTTTTGCTCAAAATTGAAAAAGATTCCAGAATTTTCAGGGCAAATGAAAAATTTGTCAATGCTTAATTTACTTGGGACGTCCATTGAGAAATTATCTTCATCAATAGATTGCCTGGTTGGCCTTACTAGTCTGTTTCTAACGGATTGCGAAAATCTCGCCAGTCTTCCGAATGAAATTTGTAATTTGAAGTCTCTTGAATTGCTTTGGGTGGGTGGATGCTCAAAAATTGACAAACTCCCAAAGAACATGGGGGAGATGGAGTGTTTAGAGAGGCTTCTACTGGATGGAACTTTTATAAGAAAGCTGCCACGCTCCATTGTTGGTTTGAAAAATCTATACAGTCTATCTTTGGGTGGATGTGGATCACAGCCAAATAAATCAAGGTTTTGGTGGAGCCTCCCCCTCTCATATGAAAGAAAGGCTTTTGTGTTGGCTCCGCTTGATGGTTGTCTTTGAGGAAATTGGATCTGATTAATTGTGGTGTTTGTGAAGGGGATCTTCCCAGTTATATTGGCTGCTTGTCCTCTTTAGTAGAATTAAAGCTTAGTGGAAACAATTTTGTTAGCCTTCCTGCAAGCATTGGATGTCTTTCTAAGCTTCAGTTATTTTGGGTGAATGGGTGCCAAAGGCTTCAACAATTGCCAGATCTGACATCAAGTAGCTCATTAGTGGATACAAACATAAGAATGTTACCACCTCTTACATCTGATTTGACTTCAAATATAAACAACGAAATACATTTTTGTAGTTTTAATTGTGCCAATTGTTTTGTATTGGTTCACAATGAAGGCTGCGATAGTATAATACTGAAAATGCTACAGTAATACCTTCAGGTTCTCTCTCTCTCTCTGTCTCTCTTTTGTTGTTTGCTATAATAATAATTACAACTTGCTAACCTCATATATATCTTTGTATGTGGTACAGCTAATCCCTAGGCGTTATATTTCGAATACCAATTAGAAATTGTCCTTGAGAAGTGTAACCACCGGCCAGAGTCGGCCCATAGCATGTGCGGGCTGTGCGACTGCACAGGGCCCCCAAAATTTAGGGGCCTCCAAATGTTTTTAAAAGTCCAACATTATATTATATCTTTTTTTATTCCAAAAATATTATTATTATTTCCTAACGAGCGGATATTTGTTCCTTCTTGATTCTTCTGTCTTCCGTCCAAACACAAAATCTTCTTTACTCTTTGGCAAGTCAAAAGGCGTGCTCTCTCTCTCTCTCTCTCTCTCTCTCTCTCATATTAGACTTTAGAAATTATATGTTGCATTTGGAATTAGCCATCATATGATTGCAAGAAGTGTGCATCTTGAGTGTTGCTGGTTTTATAGTATTTTGCTTCATTTTGCTAGGTGTAGTTCTTTTGTATGCAAAAGAAAATTAAATAGATGTGAGTATGTGAAAATAGACGAAGGATTATCTTGATTCTATTTGTGGGTTCTAATTTAATTGATGCCACATAATGATTTCGGTTTAATTTATGACTTATGAATTTTAAAATTTGAAAAATTGTTATTTTACTTATACATATAGGGCCTCATTAGCTTTCTTCGCACAGGGCCTCCATATCTAATGGACCGGCTCTGCCACCGGCATGTCCTTGAGAAGTGTAACCAGTGGAGTCGCCATAGCCAGTGATGTCGCCGTAACCACCAGTGCGGCCTTGATCTCCATAACCTGAAGTGGGGCTCTCTTGCGCTTGCCACATCACATGCATTGCCAGTTATCCACGCTTTGGTGGACGGTCTGGATGGTTTGGCTCTCTCTCTCTCTCTCTCTTGGCCGGTATGGAAGACATTTCTTCAACAAAGACTTTTCACTTATTACACCTTGAAAACTACATATATATATTTCTATTTCTATTTATTGTCAACGGAAGCCAGTAGGTTTCTTGCCCTCCCCAGTTGATATCAGAAAGAAAAATAAAGGTTGACTTACCATTCTTAACCTGAATGAATATTGTATTACAAAATCATGCCTAATTTTTTTTATTTATAAAAACACCTATCAAATAGGTATCGAGCTTTCTCTCTATCGAACAAGATTTTTACCAAAAATCGACGATGTAGACATTAATACCATTTGAGGAATCCCTCAAATAAAATTATTTGAGAAGTCCCTCAATAAAAGAGGACTATATATATACTAATCCCTTATATTTGGATTCATAAACCCAAAAAAAGATTATAAGTTTTTCTTGCAAATAATTTTGGAATATGGATTTCTTAAATTCCATCGTTGTCATTTGAAATATTCCAAGACAATAATCTATCCTCCGCTTTCCCTTAACTTATGGGCCAAGGTGGCAAGGTGTGCAATAAAACATGACATTGATCGATTTGCAATGTGGAGGACTAAAATGATGATTTTTGAAAATCTCAAAGACGATTTGTGATAAGAATGATAAAGAGAGTTAAAACTTCAGTTGCATATTCACTCAAAATTATTATTGGGAGGAAAGAAGGTAGGGTCATTAGAGTCAACCCCTCATTGTTCACTTGTAATGTCCTCCAAGTAATGTCCTCCTTTCATCATTCTTAAATGGAAAGGGTTTTTTAAGAGAGCTATTTAGTCATTTTTCCGTGATTTTGATGAAGGTAATACTTTTCAGAAACAAAAATTGGTTATGTAATGGATGGCTACCCTACGTTTTGGCTTAAATGGCACGAAGAAGGAAGAGAAAGAAACAATTGCTTTTATCATTATTCCCCGGGACCCTTTACTTCACATGAAAGAGACTAGAAGATGGATTTATACTATACGATATAAAAATTAATAAATTAAATATATGGATCCTATATATATATATATATTATAATATACCATCCCGCTCACCTAAAGACTCTAATATATATATTATAATTGAGTGAAGCCCCAATTTACTCCTCCATCTAAGATCTTAAGTTTCCTCCTTCCCAGTATCTCTAGTATAAAATATTATAAAAATAATAATTAATTTATGTTTATATTAAATGGCATTATTATGAACATGACGGTCTCACGATTGAAAAGCAAGTGTACAATATCCACGTACTGTTCTCTGATAGGGCCAGATACTTGCTAAGTAAATTTACTAAAGTTGGGATTGACAAAATGAACCATGACCCTGATGGAAATTAAGGAGGGAAATACTTGCCTCTTTCTTTGGAAATAAGAGCTCTTATTTTTCTGTCAATCATAAGTTGATATGTAGGTAGAGATTTTTCTTTTGGTGTTTTTCATGAATTATTTTTGCATATGTATCAAACTATAATTTACATAAAGTAGGAATGTCTCCTTCCAGGGAAAGAGAGAAGCAGTGTCCTTAAGAAGAGGCTAAGATAACACGTACCACCACCACAAGAACAATAATATTTTCTATCTTAGAAAAAATAAAAACCAATTAATAATATAGAAATTAACACCAAGCAAACGATATTATTTATTATCAACAATGAGAAATAGATAGATACATAGCACTCATATAACAAGCACACAAGCACTCAGCAATTATAACATTGTTGAGATCAAACCTCACTCATAACAGATAAGTAAAATCACAACATATAAAATATAAAATATAGTATTTATTTGTAGATTTAGAAGAGATGGTGGTGCTTCTTTCCATGAGTCTCTTCCTCTTCTTCCTTTGCCTCTTTCTTCTCATGATACTCATGGAAGGCAAACCCACCAGACCCAACTGCAGCTGCTGCAGCAATCTCCTCCTCTATCTTGTGCCTGTGGGCACGCTCTGGGTCTTTCTTTGACTCATGCTTCTCATGCTGCACATCACATCACATCTCATGATCATTATTAAATTAAATAAGACTTAACTAATTAGGATCTGGTATTTTAATTGTATTATATGTCTCATCTGGACCATTGTTAAATGAAAATATCTTTATAATTTTGTCAAATTATTTCTGGGACAGATCTTAATTACATTTGTCTAAGAAAAAACCTGGAAATTAACAGACATTTTGTGGCCTCACATAACTTAATCAAAGATGCACTGCAAGAAGGCATTATTGACTTGGTGTATTGTCCTACAAGTGACCAACTAGCTGACATTTTCACAAAGCCACTAACTAAGGATCGGTTCAATTATCTCAGGAATATATGCTTGGAGTTAAATCAGCTCAAGACTTAAAGGGGAGTGTTGAATTATAAGCTCTTAAGCTGATTTAGGAGTTAGTTAAAAGAATATTTTTGCTTCTTTATTTTCATAGCCAAGTGTAAAGATCCTATTGGATAACTAAATGGATGGCTGAGATCACCTTGTGATGTAAGGGATCCAGCAACTGTGCCTAACGGTTATATTTCTCACTCCAAGTGCGTGAGGTTGTGATTAAATAGAAGAGAACATTCCTCAGCTTCAATATAGCAGAGCAGTTGCCATTTTTTCCTTCTTCTTCTTCTCCCCTTTCGTCACTCTCACTCACACACATCAGAAAACACTAACAGATTAAAAATTGTAATTCCTGGAAGGAAAATTCCAGAGTGGTTCAGTAATCAAAGTGTGGGTGACTCATTCACTGTGGAGCTACCTTCGGATTCATATAGCACCTGGATGGGGATTGTTGTATGTGCTGTGTTTTGAGAAAATCACCCAAATCCAGCGGATGACCATTGACCATCCTCAATTTTATTTTCGAACTGATTGTTACTCAGGAGCAGAATTCCTTGCGGATAGTGATATTTTTGAAAGAGGCCATGTTGTATCAGATGACCTTTGGCTAATTTATGTATCTCGTGAAGAATTAAAGGGGAAATCCGGTTACAAACTTCTTATTGCCCTTATGCAGGGGTTTGTTCATCACCCAGAAAATTTTGCTCGAGTGTGAAAAAGTGTTGAGGTATAGTATATGAAATTAAATTGTTGTGCCATTTTGAATTGTTCTGATGCAAAGGTCTTTAGTTAAATCATCCTGAATCTTTTGAATTGTTTTTTTTTATACAAAACCATATTTTTCAAATTTATTTGTAAGTTTATTTAGTGTTCGAGTCTATTCAAGTGAAGTTTCAGCTATATTTGTAAGTTTGTTAAAAAATTGACTTTTATGAAATTGAAGGCCAAATTAGGCTATTTTTGATAAAAATGATGTTTGTCCTTGTGAAATTGATTTGAGTGATAACAGAGTGCAAAAGTGAGATTAGGCAATTACATTAATTAGAGGTTGCTATAAGGATGTGGGCTTTTTATAATCAAAAGATATGCCTTAGATGACATGATATAAGGTTCATCATTTGGCCCGCGGCTTGCGAACCTCCATGAAATTTAGTTTGTACCCTTACCCTATTTTGTCTTTTTGTGTGTGGAAATTAGTTTGTCTTTTTGTGTGTGGAAATTAGTTTGGAATTGCATATAAACAATTTTTTTTTTCTTCTTGACAATTTATTATTTTATTACTTTTGTTACGAGGATTCTTGGCAAAGTTGGCTAGCGGTGAATGAATACACCCAATTTCACATCACACAGGAAATTACTTGGCTTCTCCATGGAAAGATCCATTTCCTTTTACTTTATTTGAAATGTGTCCAGACAATTTTCAAATATGTATATAGATATACAGAAACATATCAAGAGTAACTCGTTTTACGGAATGAGCCAAACAATATTCTTTTATTTAATCATTTATTGTTTAGATCAAAGCTATTATCTAAAATTGACCAAAAGAAAATTATGCAACCACTCAAATAATTGACAATAAAATAAAATAAAAAGCAAAAGAACTTGTCCGAAAATGAAATGCCCTCCTTCCTCTTCAAAATAAATCACTCATTGACCGAAGACTTGGACTTTCATTGGAGACGTTGGACTTGGAGATAGCTGACAAGAGAAAATGTGTGCTCGCCATTACACAGTTTTGCAATTCTCCCTCTCTCTCTCTCTCTCTCTCTGACTGTTAGGTTTGCTTTTGTTGCTGGTTTTTTGGCTGATCTTGAGAAGTTGTATTTATTGTGAGTTTCTGGTTGGTTTGCTGGTTGTGTGGTTGTTGGCTCTGTAATTTTTTCGGTGTTGAGGTAACACTAAGCTAAACTTGTTGGCTTGCTTCGACTACATTTCCATATCTGTTTTGTTCAGGTAACGTTGACTAAAGCAGATGCAATTTTAAGTTCACTTGTGTAGTCTTGAGGCTTATATTTTTGTTTTAAATGTTGAAATTCGTATTTTTGTTCCTTCTCATGTTTACTTTATCTGTTGAATTCCTCTGTTTCTCTCTGTTGAAGTGGATTTAAAAAAAAAAAAAGATAACAATATAACATGTTCGACTATCGATATTTTCCTCAACGTGTGTAATATGATTTCCCCACTTGTCAAACTTTTTGTTTCCTTTTCTTTGCTCTGAAACTTGTTTCCTCAACGTCCATATTTTTCCTCTGGCTTACTAAATTTTCATTTCCCCAAAAAAAACCTCTCTAAATTTTAATCCTTTTCTTTATGCAAGCCATTTATCTGTAAGACGTTGGATTAATCTAATTACCTACTTAAGTGGTCTTCTAATCATCATAGGGTTGTCTTGGGCTCAATATTGATCAAGGACTCAATTACTACTCGGCACGTAGCCTTTGTATGAGTGTTTAAGTTAAATACATGGGCCACAGGGATTCCTAATTAATATGGACTAGGGTTTTTATTTCCTAATGCAATAAGGACTGCTTGAGAGTTTTTCTTGATGGGAGAGACTCCCAGGCAGATGCATATAAAACACAAGTGCCCCTGCTCAACCGATCAAGCCAACCCACACAAAAGAATTCACCCCATCTAGAATGAGTGTATGAGGGATCGGATTGAGGAGAAGAGCTCTTGTGTATATTCTT